CTTAGAAGAGGCGCCGTGGCTACAGCTCTCATTTCTGCCAGTTCTGTGTCATTTCTGTACCACTTCTGTAAGTCTGCTCTCATCACAAAGTGCCAAAAGAGATTAAAATCTGACTACAGGTCCCCTCCAGCCAACACTCCGTCCCACTGGCAATACCTAACATTGCTGAACATTCAGGAAGATCATCAGCACAAAAATGGAGTTTAAAAATTTTGAAGGACACATTTAAAGCAGTAATATTTTTATGTTCTCTCTCCTTCTTGTTTCCACTCCCCAGCCCCAGTATATGTGCACAGACATGCAATGTTTCATTTATGTAACCATTTTTCTCCCATTTATCTTTTTTCCCAGATTTTCCATCTCTTGTCCTTGTCTTATCGCATTGTTTTGCGTCATATTTCTTATATGGGGCGGGGGGGGGGCACAAATCAAAAACATTAGAAAAATTCAATCCAGAGCTACTATTTAAGTCAACTCTCATATACATCCAGTAATTGGTTGACAGTGCTTTGTCAGGGACATAGTATTCTCAACAGTTGTGTTAACACAAAATCTATGATGAAAGTATTTCTGTCAGTCAGCCCTTTTATAGAAAAAATACTTTTAAGAGTAATCTCCCTGGTTAATACACAGATAATAGCATAGCATACCCAATATGCAATCATCCTTTGAAAGCCTAATTTGCACCAACTGTTCTCCATTGGGACTACTTTCTCGGGACAACCCTTACCGGCTCAAAGGTAGAGACTGACTGGAAAAAAAATTACCCGTACTAGCTACCTGGTCACCACTAGGTCTCTAAGCTAAATACATCATTTAATACAATAAACTGCATTACAAAGGGCACCTGGGGAAGCCAGTCAAGCTTGGCCACAAGCTGCACTCCAGATGTGTTGTAAACATAAAGAGGTGAAATGGGAAGTGAGGCACAGAAAGCTGAGTAAGCAGGTTGAAGGACAAGGGCATTTTATAACTACTGCTCCAATTCCTATCCCTTAAGCCCTATACAAGGCTATTCCAGCAGTGTTACAGACCAGAAAAGAAAACCGAATGGCACTGTAACTAAGCTGAACCATCTTTCCCACTCCAAATTAATTTTTAACAAAAAGCTAGATCTTTTGTCTGGTTCACTTTACAACAGCATGAACACAAGCAGAGCATGGTAACAGAAAGAGGGAGGAGAGCACACTATGGCCTTATGTTGCCTTATATTGACCATGAAACCAGGACACCAGTCAGATACTCACCACCTGTTATTGGTTTACACATTGCATTGGTTTTTTTAGTCAAAGGGAAGAAAACTGGATTCAGTGGAGAACCTGAGTAAAGAGAAGAAACATTTAAAGTCATTCCTTTTGGTGTCAATATGATTTCATTCCCTTTCAGCAAAATTTGGCATTTATTTGCTAGCAGACTGAAACAGGAAACTGATCTCATTGTTCTTGGGTTCAGATAGGAAATGTAATGTCATTTCCACCACCTGCCTTCTTCATAGGCACACTCTCAGCATATGGACCAAGCAGCTTCCTGAAATGCTGATACATTTAACCTTTCTCACTCTTCTTTCATCCCTCTCTAGTTGCAAACTACGTTTTTCTAACTAGGAAAATACTGAAACAAAAAAAACCCTTGAAGACATTCTAAGGCAACAGGCAGGCAGAAATATAAATACAGAAATTAATGACATTTCTGGTTAACAAAGCGAACAGTTGAGAAGAACATAGCTTAAGACTCATTTTTAGCAGTGGAGTCACAATCTCTTTTGCAAAAGATTCTAAAAGTAGTAGCTGTAAATTAATCTTTAAACATCTGCAAATACGTGTGCAAACAGCCAGGACCAGCTGGTTTGCCATCCTTAACGTGACAGCAGTAGCAAACTCGTAACAGTTCAAAGTACATAACAAAGAGAAACTCATTTTGTGGTATTCCATGGAACTAATTAATGTCTGAATGAGCACAGTTTAATTGCTTTACCCTTTTCCTTCTCTTCATTACACTGCAATTTTTTTCTTGCTTATTCCACTGTATACCAAATACTCTCCTACTGCTGTACATTCAAGTGGGCCCTTTAAGATTAAAAGATCCACTCAAAAGAACCTGCAAGCTTCCAGTCTTTGTATTCACCTTGGCTCTCTCTTGTCCAGGCATCAGGATGAAAATTCAGTGCAAATGCTCCTGCTATGTGCATTCATTACCACAGGAATAGAACATGACCTCTCCAACTAAATCCCAAAGTTAGGACAAATGTGGGACCAGAGTTGCAGGACATGTTAGGTGGCACAATTATCTGTGAGGGTATGTGGAAGGAGAGTGTCGCTCCTTTGTTACAAACTGCCCTCTAAATGAACTGGAATGAAGACAGACACTCTCCCAAACCGCTCTGGATGAAATGAGATCTGCTCAGCAATAATTGAGTACACACCCATTCTAAAAAGCAAAGTTGGCACAGGAGGCCCGTATGATACCGAAATAAGATCAGCTCATACTGAAGTGTTGTGCCCATGCAAAAACATTCTGCCACAAGAATAATTTAGTAAGAAAGCTTTACCTCAGAGCAAGGAATGTAAGAGAATGACGGGCTCTCTTGCACAGGTGTAAAAAGAAAACAGAGCATAAAGTTTCACTACATGAAACAGTTACAGAAAACAGCAGGTTTCCTTCCCCAGAATCAGACCAAATCCCTTTTAGTTTCTTTAAGGCTCCTTAGTCCAGGAGATTATTTTCCTCCCTTGCTCTCTCACTGTTCCTTTTATTAAGTCCAACTATTTCTTGTATTGGCTACTTGTAGAGTCCTGGACTTTGCTTACAATAATAATCTCTCTCCCCTTCCAGCCAAAAGGCGGCTACTTTACAGATACCTTCAGTATCCAGATTCATCAGCACAAAAACGGACACCAGAAAGCAGAACAGCACATTAAGAAGAGCTGAAACTACAATCACGCCGTGATTTGGTAAGTTTAAGATTCTGCGATTCAATTTAAGTGAGTTAAGTAGGAAACAAGACACCACCGCACAAACAATTGGAAAAGTCACTAAGATCAGTATAGATTATGGTATTTTGTGTCCATGAGACACTAAAAAAGAAACCTCAGTTTTCTTAACTAAAAAGGTCAGTTCAGGCCACAGAAGAAATAAAAGACCAAATCAAAGGAACAACAGCACATATATTTGTTAGTTTCATAAAATGTATGTTCTGTAGAACACTGTATAAGAATAAAAAGGAGTCAGTAATACACAAATTCCCTGTATGGTTTGCTATTAAATATTTTATACAACGCGGGGAACAATGTGCCTTTTGCACAGCTAGCATAGTGGTGAATCAAACACAAATCGTGCCTACGAACCTGGAGTTCCCGACTGGGACCAGAGATCATACTTCCTGTTGCGCTAAAATAAAGGAAAATGCATCTCAGCCCTAAATGGTTTAGGAACAGAAGCAAAAGGAAAACCTGCCATGAAATTACAAATACAAACAGATGCCTAACTTGTGAAAGATCCACTGACAGGCAAAGATAACAGCACTAAGGAAGAGGAAGAAACGTTTGTGTCCTCAGTTATGATGCCACATATGCAGTCATATTCTGCTTCCAGTTCCACAGGTTTAGTATCATTTTGAGCAGACTCAGTCACACCAGCTGCAGTGCCTTTTAAATACAATAGATTTTAAACGTAGCCGTTGATCCAAAAAGTCCATAACAATTCCATGACAGACCAATACAGACCATTCTACATCTGCCGCAATTATATACTATTGCTATAGGGATTTGTTACAGGTCATAGCCAAAGAAGCCTGGAAAGGCTTCCACTTAGACCTCGTCCCTTTATGCTCCTTAGGTCCTTTAACAAAAGAAAACACTAGGGACACAATTTCATAGCAAATTGTTTAACATTTCAGTGCATTTTACTGTAACAGCCCCTTCTTCAGGCTCTTCAAGTATTTAGGTACTCAAGTCTGTTCTTTACGCAAATATTGTCTCTTTTGCTCTTTCTACATGTGAAAAATACTACTTAATTTTACAACTATAGCATTTAGGAAAACCTGATCTAAACAAGTGTTATTGAAAGCTTTCTATTAAAGTGTTTAAAAATTAAAGGATGGGATCTTTTGAAATTTTAATTGTTAGTTTAACTGTATTATTTCCAGCAAAGTTAATCTAAACATTGTCTTCAGGAACAGCAAGTCCGTGAGCACTGAGTGCTTCTTAAACCTTGACCAGGCAAGAATCGCAGTGGGCACAGCTGCATGAATGTACGTGCATGCACACACATACTGTAAGAACAGGGCAAAAACTCCATAGAATAGGAACTCAGAAAGGTTCATGGCACTGCTGATATCCCAACACTGAGCTCGACCATTACATACCAAACAATTTACAGCCACAAGAGTTTATGGGCATCATTTCAATCAAAACCAAAGTTCAAATCCTAGTGCAAGTGTTTTGTAATCTTGCAGGTATACAATTAAAGCTTTCAAGTATATAATTGAAGCTTACAGTAAAATGTACCTAAAGTTAAACATAACAGCTTTAGTGAACTTTATAGCTCCTTCATCAGTTTTCTCCAGATAGATTTTTGTTTTTTTGGTTTGTTTTGGTAGGTTTAGAATCTAAACTAAGAAACCTCCAAACACAAAGCAATGTGTACTACAGAACACAGACATACACACAGATGTAGCCAAGTCCCCTAGGGTTTTGTTGGTTTTGTTATTTTTATGTTCTACAGACAATCTTTATAAAAGATTACTTTCATCATATGCATACTATATTACAGGCATATTTCTACCACATGAATAAATACTCGTAATATATTTTACAAAATCAGAACATAAATCTTGCCTTTGAAAGCTTACCAATGCCCAAAGTATTTAAGGCTCACTAAGCAGTTTCAAATTTGTAATTGTCTCTACATTTGAAAAATGCATTAGTAAAGTTTACAGATTTTAAAAACAGTTTGACAGTCTCTTGTAAATGTTTAATAGCTTCCCTCCTCCACAAGCATAGGCTAGCTTTTGTTTCACCTCTCTCCTTCCACGCTCCATGTTTTTATATTGTTGTCTCTGCAAAAGGAACAAAAGTATCAAAAAGACACAAACATTCAGTTCAGCTCCTTTCAAACTTAACAAAATTCTATTAAGTACTCAGGGTAGATTTGGTTGGCATCAAAGATAACAAAGATCTTTGGGTTCCAGGTATTATCCACACAGCTGTCATACAAGTTCACAAAACTTCCATCTTTTGAAGGAGGCCTCATGTATTTTGAATCACCATTGATATAGTCACCAGTCAATACACGAGCAAGAAACATGACTTTATCTGGTCTATGCAGATGAGGTTGCAGATTCACACCATGAATTTGAAAAGTATCTCCATGCTTCATGTCCTCCTTGCAGAAACGACTGGAATATGATGCGTCTCTTGCAAAATAGGTCCCTTTCAAATAATAAAAAAAAAAAAATCTGATGACATTCTTATCATGACAGCTTAACTACCAGGGCATGGATATAGGTATCAGGATGATGAAAGATGTCTGTTCTTTTATGTTCATTAGCAATCTGACTTTTTTTTTTTCCCCTAAATCATTAGATTATAGCAACATGACCATATATTTTTCATGGGAACCTTTTAGTAGGGAGATTGTCTTGTGATCAACACTGCTTTGTTGGGCATCCCTTCCCCACGCTCCCTAGTCCTACCAGCCGGTTGTGACAATTACATTCCTTCCTGCATCCTAACCTTCTTAATTATACTTCATGTAAAAGCCGAGCTATATTAAACAGCTCTTGGATAAACACAGGGAGCACATCACAAAGAACATACCATACGGAACACTTAACAATGTTGAACTGTTAAGATTACCAAACTGTTGTATGTGACAAAAATACTTACCTTTTCCATATACAGCAGCATGCATCCCATTTATTCTCCAGTCAAAGTTATGAATACATATTGCTTCTACAAATTCATTACTGGTGCCATGAAATAACATCTGCTCATTAATAGTTGGGACACCTCTTTTCTTCTTTAGTTGAGCTTTTTTCCTACAGAGAACACACAATACAACGTTACAAACATCTGTACAATCAAATTAAGTTACTACTCTGAAAACACTGCAGGGGGACAGACCTAAAACACTCCTTACATTCTGCTTTCACAAGTGTCTAGCTGATTCTAGTTTTTAAAAAGATCAGAATTCTTAAGGCACATGTTTAGAAATTGCACACTTCTGGATGCTGTGGACTATTTTCAGAAGTAATCCCAGATTAGGAAAAAAGGTCTGTTATACCAGTTTTATCAACATTGTTCATTTGGCATTAGTTTCACTGTGGTCATTTTCTGCAGATACATTTTTACAAGAAAGGCATTTTTCTCCCATTTTGTTCCCTCCACCTACTTAAACAGCATGCTGGGAGGGTTAACAAAGTTAGTGGATTATAAAGTGTAATTACCAAGGTAAACCAGCAGAAGTATTAAAGTTACCTAAATTTTTTAGAAAAATTACTTCAACATAATGGTTTTCTGAATTACGATTCACATACTTTCTAAAACACATAAGTTGTGCATTGACAGGGTTATATTGGTCTAGAATTTTGAAGAAAAAAAACCAAAAAAACCTCACACTACAGGTAGACTTACATTACAGTCTCACATGCAGAAGGCCATAGCACACCTTCAATTAAACAACAGATATATTTTCCATCAATCTTTTTTAAGCGACTTTCTGTCAGCTGGGTTTTCCTGAAATCCATGAAGAAGTTGACCCTGGAGCTGCACCTAAATCACCGAGCTGTTCATAGTTATGGTCCCTTGACTATCCAGATAAAAACAAATCGGAGTCCATCATAGCTTTGTTCTTGTCTATGTACTTCAATTTTCTTCCTATAAAAGCCACAGTGCATGGGACACTGTGCTACATACTTAAGCTTATCACGCACATACTTAGGTTTATCAAATTAAGCAATCTGCTTGTAACTGGAGTGCACAGTAGAATTGGGGAAGCGTTCTGAGGGCCTACAGTTTAGATATGGCCTGAGGAAGTCCCATCAACCAGGTCCAGGCAGCAAAGACTCTTTATCACATTAATGGCATTACATTGCAATTATGCACTATTTATAAATAACTACATTTCACAGAAGTTAAAAATCTTGCAGTGCTTAGCTTGAAAGATATGTTTATTCTGTTTTATTGCTCAGTTTTGTGGTTTGTGTTTTTTTTTTTTTTTCCCTCCTCCATTTAATGCAAATTACTATAGCTATGTCTTGGCAACTTAATTTTTTTGGTGTCTTTTTTTCCCCGCCCTACAACTGCTTTCCAAATCAGAATGTCAGCAGAATTTCAAGGGCATCTGGGAGATTTCACTAATAATCTCATTTGTGACATTTTGTGTCAGAGACAGAGAGGTTCCAGGCACTCAAGTTCCACTCTTTGGCAATTCGACAAAACCCAGGAGCCAAGATTCCCTGCATCTTGAGAAAACTACCCATGTGAGACAACACCTCTGAGCTAAGGGCCAGAAATGTTGAACACCTGAAATTTTTCAATCAGCAGCCCTCTGTTGTTGGCTGCTGATCTCTGACAATCTATAAAGGTAGCCTAGAGTAACTTCTCTTGAAACAGGGGAACAGAACAAATTATAGAAAAGGTGAATAATTAAGTGTCCAAAAATGTTCTGTAACAGTCCTTCACTATCTCGGACCAGCTGATTTCATAAAACCAATTTAAAACAGTCATTAATATGGGAACTATTAAAACAGGCAAATGTGTTTTGACCACTACAATGACGCAAATAATCATTCAAGCAATGCTTGAATTTAGCCACTGACCTTATCAACGAAACACAACACTTTCTCAAAAACGCAAAAGTTTAAGTAGCAATTGGTCCTCATCAGCAGCGGAATATACTAAGCACACTGAGAAGGCAGTTCTGCAGAATGCAGAAATGCCACAGCAGGACTTTTTATTGATTTGGAACAGAAATCAAGGAGTCCAACTATTCTAAAAAACATCATCTCAGCACTTTCCACCAGCAGTGACAAGCTAATCCAGTAAAACAAAATTAAGCTGATCTACCACTCAGAAGGCTCTCACACAGCCAGCTCACTCAATAAAGGATACATCTAAAGCAAAACTAAATACCCAGAGACATGTTCTTTGTACATATGTCAGCACATAAGCTTTTTCTAAAGATGGTCAGCAATCTCACTGACCAAACACCATTTTCTACTTGCTGTACTCCTCTACAACTCCAAACTGAGATGCACAAACCAAAATATGCGAGACTTAAGAGTCATCTTCTGTTACTTTCACTTTCCCACATGGGATACCAAAAGAACTTTTAGTGACTTTGAAAGGCTGGAATATCTACTACTTTGTAATATACTACTGGGCAACAATTTCTTCACCGGTGTGTGTAAGCCCATCTACTCCAAGGCTGTATTTTGCCCTCAGCAGAAAAGCAGCTAAGCCTCAATTGCATACATCTACTCTAGCAATTTTTATTGTTACCAGTATTTTTTTGTTACAGGAAGAGTTTTAAAATGGAAATAACTCTTCTCCATATACTTTTATACCATACAGGTACTAAAAAGTACCTTGGTTTGTAGTTCGTTACATGGTGATACTGTAATACTCCTGACATGTGAAGTTCTAATTCCCATTCTCAGTTTCGTACCTTGAGAATATTCTAGCATAGCATCCATACATTGAGTTGTTAAACCATGAATTCTACTCACTGATCAGTCGGGAAAACTAGTACACTCTCCAAATAACAGCAGTTCTAAGCTAAGCAAAAAAAGGTCTTCCCGCTCTGCCATCTACACTGGAGACTCAAAGGACATTTACTTTGAAGTCTGCTTGCTACTCCTATTCTCAAAAATGAAGGTTGGTATTAAGATGGTATAAATACATGTCTACAGAAACTTATTTGTGGAAAGGTAGATGTTGAAACACAAGGCCAAGCATATAAGCCTTAATACTTACACATGTAAATATAACCAAGTAAATTTGCAATTAAGAGAAGGCTAACTCTCTAAACCAAGAACTTAAATTAATTTCCTTATGTGTATTCATGATACAGCTTTAAATTAACAATAAACTACGTATCTTTCAAAAAATCATACAACTTACGCAAATTTTTAATACATCTATCTGCTTAGTTATTTCCTCACTATTTAACTTAGTTCCATCAGTTTTAATAGTGCAATACATTTTTATAACTGATTCTGATATGTACTCCTTCTTAGAGGCTACACCAATAAGCAGCTGTGTGTGACAAAAGTTAAGATTGATACTACAAAATAAGTGGAAACAGAACTTGGCACTTCCTACTTCTTCCAGGCCAGCACAATATGAAGAAGGAAAAGCAGAAAACTTCGAAAAAGCTTTTGTAGCGTATTAAGCTCAAAAAAATTACATGAATATGTGTCAATTGGACACTTTATTCTGCCCTAGGTTTCATGCAGTTGAGAAATTAAACAAGCCACAAATATTCATTTGCTTTGTTCACTAAAAATCAAAATAATACAACTCTGTCAAGGAATTATTTTACTTACAAAAAGCTTGTTTCTGTTCTCACTGTAAGTATTATGGGCATCTACCACATGGACATGCTGAACATCTTTAATGCATCGGTCTTACCTGTGCTACATCTACATCTAATGCATTTCTACAAGTATGACATTTTCTGCACCTGTAGAAGCTACAGAGTCTTGAAAATGGAATTTTGAATACAGAGGAATGACAGTAAGAAAGTTTTTTAAAAACAAAAAGTAACATATTTTCATTAATAATAAAAGCAATTAAACATATTTCTGCTGCATGCCTTCAAGGCTTGCTCCGTTAACAATCCTAAGACTGTTGGTTTTAGAAATAATCTCACCTGCAAAAAAACTCCCACAAGTCTAGATTTTGTATTCTCTTAATTCTTTTAATTCGGTGGCTATCCATTGTTTTTCCAAAGAGACTAGAAACTTCATTATATTCATTTGTTTTCTTTTGCAATGGAATAAGCTGGAAAAAAAGAGGTTAGTACGATTTCAATTCAATGCATTATTTCATTATCACATGTTTTTGACCAACTTGCATACCAACTCTTACCTGATATGACTCCTCAGTATTTACATTCTCCCAGTGTGAAGGCATAGGGATAGCCTCATTTTCACAGATGAAACTTCAAACAAAAAAAAGGTAAAAACACATCACATCAAAGACATGACGGATTTTGTTCCTGTCAAACTCCTGCTCCAAACTATACAGTATGCAAAAAAAACCCCCAAACTCTTACACAAAACTACTTAGGGTTTTAACTCAAACAAAGGCTGCTGTCAGCAGGTAAGGTCAAAGGCAAGAGGTCTTAATTTGTATTCAAATTCTGGCCTAGCTTATTATAAATAAACCACAGTAATGAACAATATTAATACACCACCTACCCAACAAAAGATAGGAAGATAACTCAGAAGAGATGAGCAGAAAGGTCTGCAACATCAGGAGAGCAACAGTAATTTAGAAATATGAGAGTGTAGGTGTAGCCTGAACGTTCCAAACTATCAGGAATTACAACTAGCCTAAGCCTCTGGAAACTGAGCCCTCATTTGAAGTATTTAAAAGCATCATGTTAGAAACACACACTGGAAAATTATAGTTGAGTTTATTAAAAAAAAACCAAAACCAAAACAAACCCAAACCCTTAAAAAAAAAAAGAGAGCATTTTAAACATATGTACCACATATAAAGCAACTTTTAAGCCTTAAAACCAGGACTAAAAGCAGCAATCTCCTGAAAGTAAAGAATGGGTGTCATCACATGGAAAGAGAATACCGAATGCAATTATTCCAGAAACAAAAAACCAAAAGTGAATTGCCACATTATCACATACACTCTTCATCAAATATCCACTGAAAAAACAGTTGACACTTCAAAAAAAAGCAAGCTTTCTTGAATGTCAGTGTAAAAAGATCGCTACTACATTTCTTATTACAACTGCCAAACTTCTTTTTGAAAGTATAACCAGACGACAATTCAGAACTAAAATGATTTCTAAGAAACTAGTTGGGGAAAAAAACCCCACATATTCCATATAGTCAATTTTACCTGTGGTAGTATCACTGCATAGGTCAGTTTATTGTTTAGTGAGTATCAGATTTACATCAGCACAGCTTTATATCTAACGACTGATCAAATGGTAAGAAACTTACAGTCTAAAGCAATTAGACTCATGAAACAATCTGGCTGTTACGATGCAATTTCTTGTAATTTCAGATCATTTCAGAGTAAATGATTAAAATATACAGGCAAGAAAATACAATTCTTTTTTTTTTTTTTTGCTGTTACAATAATACTTCTAAATCATTTATGAGGTCATTATTACAATGGAACAAACTACTCCATTTTTTGCTGCTGCCTCTCCACAGCAATTCTGATTCAACAGGTATTTACAGCTAGGGACTCCAATGGCTAAAGTCAGGCACAGCTTTAAGAACCTTGCCACAGGATACCGGTATTCAGTATGCCTTGCCTCTCTCCCACTACAAGTTTCTTACTTTCTCAGAAAAAAAGATAAAAAACAAACTAAAAATTCTTTTGTCACTCTTCTCCTCTGAAATGTTTTCCTTCTTCACTTGACTAGCTCTCCCCACCTTGGTTCACCTCTCAATTTGTTTCATGCAAAAAGTAATTAAATATAAACAATGAACATATTTTTGTTTAATTTTACTTAGAAGGATCAGGAATAAAATAAAAATAAGGAGTCTTCCTTTTATTTCCTTACCTGAAAGCACTGACAGAAAAGGGAGCTCGCTTTATTGGACGTTGCTTAAGTGTAGTTAGGTTGGTTTGTTTCATCACTGAGCATAAAACAAGAGTTAGGATGAAAGTTTTTGGAATTCATCTATAGCATGTGAAACATTTAAGTGTCATTTTTTAAAATAACATTAGTACACCCACTAAAACTTCCACTGACTTTCATACAACTAGGATGACAAAGCATATTACTACTACCCTTAATGCAAGACATTATGACCTACAAACAGTAACACTAAAATACTTCTTTAGCATTTGCATTTAGTGTTTGTATTCCCGGTGCAAAACAAAAGATTTTTTTAAACAGACATTTCAACACAAGTAAACATAAAACTCCTTGTATTGTTACATCTCAGTACATCACTCTTTTACTCAGTCTCCACTTTCTGTATTTGAAATACTATTATTTTCTTTGATTTGGAAGAGGCTTCTATTTAAGCCTATAGCTTTTTCGTAATGTTGTCAGAAAATAAACAATCTATGGATGGAAAAGCTTAAAAAAAAAAAAAGGAAGTAATTAGAACACTCTTTTGAAAAAAAGACAGACTAATTTATGGTTAGCTACATACATTAGAATCCTGTAAATATTCTGTAATTTACAAGCATGGCATAAGTGACATCTCGATGATCTACTAGAAAATCCTTTTGCCCACCTCCTTGTTATTCTGACAACAGAATTGGCTTCAACTACCTGCTGGACTATTAAATCACTTTGATGCCACTATTTTGCAGAAAGCGTCCTTCATATCAACATTTCTTACAGACACTTTGAATAGAAGAGGTTTTTCAAGCTTCCAAGCAGCTGCATGTTAAAGAAAAAAGGTTCAAACTTCCCAGTCCCATAGACGCATGCTACACACCACCTACCGCTGAGGTAAGCGGCAGTAACCCGGTGGAGTGCTACTACACACGACGTGCTACTTTACTAATAAATAACACTAGAAAAAAGTAACAGGGCAGCTGCTTCTAAAAACTCCTCCGTACTTCTCAGTAAAGAAGATCCAATCGCAAGCTTTTGCACTAGATAAGAGGACAATAATTTGCTGAAAGAACAAATGAACTGGTGTATCTGGCACCTATTATTTAAATTTTGCTCTATGAAAAGATACATACCTGAAAAGTCTAGCGTGTAGTTAAATTTTGCAGTAGTAAAAGAAACAGAACCATGTGGGTTTGTTTGGAAGCTCCTTTCAATATCTTCGCTGCTAACAGAGCAATGACTGTTTGAATCAGTCTTCAAAATAAATGAAAAAGCACATTTAGACAAATTCAGCAATAGGTAGTTTCACGTATGGAAACCATCACAGCTAATATAACTTCATAGGTATTTACCTGAAACATATGCCATTTACCACACTCAGCCAAGTAAAACCAGCCCCACTGAGTATCAGAGGTATCCATATCTTCAATTGAACTTTCCATCTTTGGAAAAAAATCTTCTGATGTTCTTTGAAGCATTTCCTGAAACATTCACACATGTAGACAAAAAAAGTTTTGATACTATTTGCAAAAATGTGTTATTTGAGAAATTCATAGAAAAGCAAAATAAAGTGAATTTGCAATAATTAAAAAAAACCCCAAACCCTGGCAGGCAGGGGGCAGATTTGTTTTCTCTTTTTCAGAGAAAAATTCTCAATTTGCTACTTATCCAGTATTATCCTTTAAGTTAGTTAAACATTTTCAAAACCCTCTCAAATGTCTGTAAGTGTGCCAGTAAAGGCAGGAGCTATAGGCTTTGGCAGATCAAAGAGGGGTGCTAAATCTCATACTGATGGTCATACGAGCAAGGCCGTTCATATATACAACAGGCTCCAAGTTACATACCACTCAGGAATGAGGTGTTGGGGTTACATCTGACCGCTTGATGAAAACATCTACTAGGTACTCACCAGCATGAACAAATTAGACTGGATATCAGAAGTTGTTAGAAAAAAATTAAAACGCTAAGACAAAGAATATAATTATTTAGCCGTGCAAGTCCACAGTGCATTATTCCTGAACACTGCATGAAGGTTTGCTTCCCCCCTAACGCACTCATTCAAAAATGATACAGTACTCCGTAGTTGTAATTACAGAGAAGGTTCACACCAGAAGCCAGAGTAGCTTCCACACAAGCAATAACTACTGTAGCTGGGGCTCTGCAGGACGGAAGAAAAAGGACTGTGGAAAGGATATAGCAGAAGTCTACAAAATCATGACAAAACCAAAAAGGAAATAACAAATCACGTTTTCTTCCAACATAAGGAGACACCTATCAAAGGTTGCACATGTCAAGTGAAAGAGAAACTTTGTCATAAAACAGATGGCAACCTATGGAATTCCTTTTCATGGTATGCTGTGGATGCTACAAATTTATGGAAGTTCAAAAAGCAGCTAGACAAGTTCAAGCCCACCAAGAGCTATGCCGGAATACCTTCAGAAGAACAGTTCCTGCCAGATTTCAGCTCCTTCTTCACTCATCAGTAAAATCCTGAAAACTCAGAAAGTACTTGACTCTACTTGCATATAGCTCCTAACATGTCAACTCTGTCTGCCACATCCCCCCAAGCAAAAATTCTAAGTAGGCTGGGGGAAATCTTTCACAGAAAGAAGCTTGCCCTACTCCCTGAAAAGGTCAGCAATTCATCCGCTCTAACTCCTTAACCAAGACTGGCACTCTTCCCAACCATTTCCTCAGCTTAACTTTGGCTTCCAAGAAGTGAAACACCACCATCCAGCACAAGTCAGTCAAACAATGTCCAGTTAATATCCTGGATGCTTCAGTTGTTTCCTGGACACTTCAACCCAGAACAAAGTAGAGACCTGAAGAAGGCAAATACTGGAGACCAGAAGTAGGCACCAGCTACTGGGGCAGGAGTTGAGAGCAGAAGGCACTTCTTCTAGCACTACCCTTCCCCTTTATTTTTCCCAAGCTAGCCCTCTGTGGTTGTTTAAAAAACAATCCCAGAAATCTCTTTGTGGTAATAGCTAGAGACTGTATTCTAGTCATCAAAAGCTCTAAAGGGCTACAAAAATCTAGATGCTGCAAAACCAGCGGAATTGGAAGTGGACCTCCACAACATCTCTAAATTGCAGAATCTGAGGGCAAGCCTACTTTAGTACAAATGGAAGCCTACGCAAGGCTACATACACGGATAGCTGCCTCAAGTTCAAGCAGAACTACACTAAAGTACATCAGCTGTATGGAAAAATATTTTGAAAGAGGTAAGAAAACTGTTCTCTATTTTGGAGGGCACCTGCCAACATCTCTTCTATTCCTCACAGCAATCCAAAGTCACAGAGTCTACATTCACTTAGTGTTAAAGCACAACTGGCCACATCTTTTGATGATAGTCTTTCACCTTCAACTTGATTCTTCCTCGCAGATTATTTGGCTATGTTCTCTCCTACAGAAGAAGGCAGAGGTACTCTATACTTTTTTAAAGCTAAGAGGAAAGTAATTCAGGCTTTTTTCGTAACGTTTCGTTTCCTCTTGTTCCCACTAAAACGGCCAGACCTCAGCTCCATCCCAACGTTAGTTCAGGGCCTTGAATCTGATCAATCAAATCAGTAATGCCTTTTGAGTAAGTTACAAACAGAGAAGGCATGTTCGTCTGTGCCCTGTCAACACACTTACATTCCTCTGGGAGCAACACAACCTCCAGAATAAACCATTTACTAAGGAGACAGTTATTCCCATAGCTTTCAAAAATGTTACATTTAATGCACATGTATCACCCTAGTCACAAAGTCTAGGGTGAGCAGGTAGATTCCAGGATACTTAGAAGCATGGTAGAATGACCCAAAGGCATGAACATGTAAAGTCATAAGCACAAGAGAGCTGTTCTCAAAGGTGATACAAAACCAAAACGCTTGAAGGAAATCGCTCAACTTACTGATGAATTTAAAATCAAACCCACAGCATTTATAAGGAGCAGGTAGCCTTCCGTCCAAAAACTCTGAACGCGTGCACAGTGAGCAGAAAAATCTGAGTGGGTTTTTCTGGATGACAGGATGTCAAGTACCAAAGATGCAGCAGTGACAATTTTATTAGCAGTAATAAACTGAGGCTTCTCAACTCCCACTAGTAGCACTGTTTCTACTGGTCCAGGAGTTACAAGACCAGCTCAAATTAAAACCCATTACTCTGATAGCAAAAACATCCTCCTAAACATAACAAATTCTCATTGTGTGTTGGGCTGTGGCTGAATGGCTTTACTATTGCTGGTAACGCATTGCCAGAAGAATTGCTGGTAATGCATTTTTCCAGAAGTACTGTTAAATTTGAATGATGAACATGTTTTATGATGCACAGAATGACAGAATGGTTTGGGCTGAAAGGGAATTTTAAAGATCACCTCGTTCACTCCCCTTGCCATGGGCAGGGACACCTCCCACCAGACCAGGATGCTCAAAGCCCCATCCAACCTGGCCTTGAGCACTTCCAGGGATGGGGCAGCCACAGCTTCTCCTGGGCAACCTCTGCCACCGCCTCACCACCTTCATGGCAAAAAAAAAAATTAAAAAAAAAAAAAAAGCAGCATCCCGATGGGCTATTCTGTCTGCTGTCCTGGGTTGTCTGCTTCCACTTGGCAGATTGTGCTTTGCTGCCAAGGACTCTTTCGCCTACAAACATCGTTTGCATAGTTCCCTGCTGGGAACACCAGCAGTGCCAAGGGACTCTCTGGCTCTTCCTTAGAGAAGGAGATTTGGCTGAGGTAGGGGTGCAGGGCGAGGGAGGGGAAGCGAGAAGGAAGAACAGCATCAGCACTGGTACGGGACACAACAAGGAATGCCAGCACCCTCCGCAGCTGTATCACCACTTACCCCCTTCGTGCCACGGGGGACCACCGCTGCAGTCACCCCCTTTACCGACCCCCTCCCGAGCTGATCCCGTCAGAGCTCAAGGCCACGGCGGGGCGGTCCCACAGCACCAGCGCCTCTCCGTCCGGGTCGCAGGCTGCCCCAAAGATGGTGGCCTACGCCCCCCACCCAACCTGGCAGCGCGCTCGCCGGCGGG